TTTTCTAGAGAAAAAAAAACGTCGTCCAGATAATTCGGGTGCAGTGGTACAGGATAATAATTTCTAAGAAAATTTTAACCGAAAACTTCTATACCTGTTTTGAATTGAACAAGATGTTTTCCAAAGTGACCAACATCGCGATGTAAGTTCAACACTGCGACAATGGACGAACGTCAGTCGTCGCATGATCCATTTGATGTATACACGTTTGTACGTGATCGGAAAATGGACATTTTTACAGTTGGATCACTTAAAATGTGCAAAATCTAAAGCTTTATAACCCCTATAGGTCACGTGAATGCGACAAGAACGAGTTTTGAATTATCAACGTGGTTCCAGGGAGAAGGAAAATAATAACGATATGTTCTGCGCACTGATCGTTATTAACCACGATATGATGAGTACGTGCAGGGGAACACCACAACAGTTCTAGAATCCATTCACGTATGTCGATTCGGAAACCGGTAAGTCTACGTACTTATCGTGACGGCGTGATAATACAATCACCTACTACTCATGCTCATTCGGAACAGAAATCTCGACTGCATCATTGACATTGCAAAAATATTACGTGGGTAAACCTTGCCGCAGTAAAATTCGTAAGACTCCAGAGTTCCCCGTGTTCTCCCCGAAAAATTAAGTGTCTCTGCAGAGATACAAGTACAAAAATACTAAAATGATTAAATGACATGGAACAGCGGAAAGTTTGTTTTTGCACTCACTGACATAAATAAAATTTTTATGTTTAGATATTTTTTTCTCGTAGTTATCGTTGATTATTATTATTCTCTTCGTTCTCTAACTGACTATAAAACGGTTTCCGCAGCGACAACGAATCATTACTGATCTGTTAAAAATTACGAAATTCATGTTGTCGCAAACACGTATATCAATTATTCTAATGTATCTGGATGTTTTTCATTCATTTCGAACTATATATTATAATAATTGGACGTATAATACTTTTTAAGTTGTGGCAAAACGTAATACGTCATACATTCAACACACAGAATTCAATACAATAGAAAAAAAAAAATTAAAATTCATAAAAAACAATATGTGTTTTGGATAAGTGCTTTCATCTTCATTTGCTTTATTTAATAAGGCCACAGAATTAGCATGAGTTTAACACACAGATGTAAACCAGTAACTAAACTGGCAAATGTCTATATTACCCGTGTATTCATGTGAAACCGATAAACGCATTGGCCATTTTGTAAGCGTAACATCCATATTGTTATCATACATTTTAACATACTGATAATAATTTTTGAAATATATCAATATAGCATCATTGACTTGCTAGTCGCATAACCTTAAAGAACAACGGGCTTCCAATATCTGAAGCCCCAGGTCATAATTTATAAAATCATATTCGTTTACCCGACGATAGTGAAAAATAAAACACGCTATATCACTGTTCAATGATTGAAGAAATGCATTTCAAGTGTCCCGTAAAAATACCATGACATATACTATATCAGTTGTTGATGAAGAGTGACGGGCAATAATTGAGTTTTCATATTGTACTCGCACGACTCGTTTCCGGTGCGAATATTATGTACTATAGAACATATATATTCATAGGCGTACGCTGACGTACGGGCCCTTTAAAAAAATGAGCCAAAGATTCTTGTACTAAAGACTACTAGTATAATTAAATATTTTAAATTCTATAAATTATTTATTTAATTCAATGTGCAAATATAAAAATAAATACTATTTAAACGTACACAATTTATATCTAAGAAATCCTTATTTACACATTATTATACTATTTACAATTCCATCCTGCTGTCCACGGGAGTAAGGTTTTTGAATGTGTCAATTACATCTTCAATTTTTATATTTTATGCAAGTTTTGATTAGTCTGATTAATAACTAATAACTTTATTACATTTATTCTCAGATATCAATTCTTTACTATAAGATTAAAACTGGCTTTACTTTATTCATGTAAAATGTAAAAATGTTCGCTATCTTGTATAGTATAGATATACATTTATTAAAGGAAAAGCCAGAGTCCGCAGGGGGGGCCGCGGCCCACCCGGCCACCCCTGTGCGCACGTCTATGTATATGATCATGCAGTATACCCGTCGGAAATTATTTTATCACATAATTCGCGACTTGAGTTCCCGAGTGAACATATATATGGTATAAAAACCAACAAATACGTATAAAGCTACAACGATTTTAATTTTCAATCGTTTTACTAAAATGCACCGACCAGCGCTACGGATCGATGATTGTGCGATGCAAGTTCTCAAAACATTCTATCACGAAATTTATTGGCATCGCCGAGATAACGAGTTATACACGCCGGACGTGTTAATGATAATCAGGGCTAGGAGCCTTATTCACTAAAATAATAATGAAGTATATGTAAACAAGTGCACTAAAAAAAAAATATTATATTATATTATTTTTCTATAATAAAATAAATAAATAATATATTTAATGTTATGTACTTACGTGAGGAATACACTTCATAAACTTCAAAAGTACATAGATGGTCACAAAATTTTGTATTCTATAAGAATTTAGATAATAGATAATTTATAAAAATTATCTTTAAGAATATAGATGCTAATATTATGATTAAAAAATAAAAATAATTGTTAGTAAATTAATAATAATTTTTTTTATATTTTTTAAGGAAACAGTCATAAACACTTGGGAAAATAGATATTTTACTATTGTATAATTGTTCAATAACACTGGGCTAGTGATCTAGGCTGATCACAACAAATTTGCCAGCCTTGGTATTATAGTATCATTTATAAATATAATATGCATTAATATGTTTTTAATATAAAATGTTGTTAAAATGATATAAATTTAATAAAATTGGGTGACATAAACATTTTTATTTCGATTGTATGTAACATAAAATTAATTAATATCTGGAATTAGATGTTGAACATCCATCATAAATCTGACATTCACAGCTTTCTGCAAAATGTTAAAACACACGAGTTTTAAGCTCGGATGATGATATTCAGAGATGGAACTAGGAATTTTTACGCCCGGGTAAAATGTTAAAATTACGCCCTATCCATAGACTAATAAACAAATACTCAAATAAATTGTGTTCTTATAATCAATATACAATCGTACTTACTGAGTTTTAACCTAATATCAGTATTTAACGAAGTTAAAAATATCAAATTAGTTGTTAATAATTACGAAAATTACACCCTCTAAAATGTTACGCCCGGGGATAAATCCCCGAATTCCCCCCTAGATCCGGCCCTGATGATATTTAACGGAGATGTGAATATGAGTTCATGTAGTCGTCGCCGCGGCGCTAGTACAAAATATGCACTCGCGTGGTACATAATTTTAAATAACAACAATAAATGTATCGTACAGAAACACAGGTAGATTGAGCAAAACGTAATTTTCATTTTGTACAACGTAATTATAATTTTCTTAATAACAACATATATTAAATCTAGAATCTACATTATAATTCAAGCAGTAAGTATATAATGCATACGTAATTAGAATGTTTAACATAGTAAAAAAAAAAGAAAAAAAATCTATTTCACATAACATCTTTATATATATGTATAATATAAAATATATATATTTTATATATATTTATGTATTTACATGTACAGCGAAAGCTCGTTACGAGTATAATAATACCAGTGCGCGTGTATACTGCGGTATATAGTTAACATGAAAAAAAAAAAAATCCTAAAAAGCGCGTTATAAAATAATATTATAATGTCGCATTTACATACAGATATTTCATCCTATACGTGTGAACCATATTATTATAGATTAACCATATTAAATGGTGGTATTAGTAGTAGTAGTAGTAGTAGTAGCGGTAGTACGTAACACGTGTCTATACAAATCACTATAATGTTACCCCGGTGTTGAGTAGAACAATTGTTCTTATATTCTTATCCCGATTATACCTAATACATATTTTTTCGTCGTCCGTGGACGCGCGCGCGTTCACAGTCGGTCAAACGCGAATTTTTCACCATGAATCAAATCCCTACGGGTGTTTACGTGTTATTTTCTACCGCGAAGAAAATTCGTTTAGTGAACCGCACTCGGTAACATAATACTCCCACATCGATTACGGTGTTTTAATATATACTACTATTGATGATCGCACGTGCTGGCGCGGTACGAACAAGACGAGTCGTGCGCCCACGACGACGTGGACTCTATCCATCCTCGTGATTAAAACAACAACGGAACATAAAAACAAAATTAATAATTAAACAGAACACGTTATCAATACTCGAAGGAAAATTATATCTTTGCTAAATAAAACATATATTGTTACGTCTGTATAACATATAATATATAACTGTGTAAGCCTATTGCTACGTATATAAATATATAATAGTTACAATAACAAGGCGCGCGTACCTTAGTACTCCGATGGTTACGGTTACTGTTTATGAGCAATAAAACAATTAGTTGCAAAACCGTTTTAACGTACGCGGTGTGTGCGACGATTGCGCGTTACAACGAGACGTCTTTGGGCAAACGAAAAAACAAAAAATTAAACACAACCACGCACGTGTTTTAGCATAAGAAATTGGCCGAGTAAAAAATCGATAAAATATATATTTACGCTCGCGCAGTCATACACACATATACGCGCACGGGGGCACACACTAGTAAATATTTATATAAACTTAAAAAAACATACACACATACGTCTGTATACTAACAATAACTTAAACGTTTACTCGTCGTCGGACGTGTAATTTCTCAGTCGGGGTCGTCGCGCTACAATAATATGCACCTTACGGGGTGCCGGAAGAAAAGGGTTTCGGAGGAGGGGGAGTGCGATGAAAAGTAGAGGTGGACGAATGCGAGAGAGAGAGAGATAGAGGGTTTTTCTGGCGACGGAAAGAGCGGACGAATTCAGATACAGAAAAAAAGAACGATCGATACCCGAGCGATGTGAAACAACGAACGAGTTCTCGGAGCCGCGAACGGACCTTCGGGAACGCGCACGATTTGATTTTTTTTTTTTTTTTTTCGTTTAATTTTATCGATTGTTTTTAATTTAAATTTTTTCGTATTTTTCGTTTTTCTCGCCTCATCACGTTTACGTTCCACTACACCCGGCGTTCGAGCGCAAGCGGACTGCCCCGGGCCTCGGCCGACCGGTTGCACGCCTCGCTGTTGATGCGCACCGACGACAGGGACGTGCCCAGACACGAGTTGCTGAAGCTGCCGTACGTCGAGCCGAACCGGTAACCGCTGTTGGACCGGAACGACTGGTGGTGACCGTTGATGGTGTACACGGGAGACTTGGCACCCGGTACCGGCGCCGCGTTGGTCGGATCCGTGCCGTCCGCGCGGAACGCGAATCCCACCGTTGAATCGTTCATGCCGTTCACCACGAACTTGGCCGACGGCCGCCGTTCCATGCACACGAACACGGCCAGCGCCAGACCCTGCGAACAACAACGTTGTAATTTTTTTAATCGTAAATAATAAACATTTACGTTCAGTTGCGCTTGACGACCCATCGAACTCAGTGGCGTAGTTACGAGGGGGTAGGGTAAGGGGTTTCCACCCTTAAAAAACAAATTTTATTAATAAAACAACGTTTATACCTACACCATTGTCTTGGCATTAAAAAACAGATAGCTTGAAAAAATAATTTTATCGGTGCAGTGTTTTTTTTAGAACGTAGTTAAGTTCTAGGAATATTGTACCGGAGGGGTAAAAATATCCTAGGAAAATCATACCCCCTTCGAGGTACAATATTCCTAGTAAATTCTTACTGGGAGGTGAAATTATCCTAGAGTATTCTTACCGGAGGATACAACTTTCCTAGGATAATCTAGGAATAAATAATAATGATAATAATTCTAGTAACGATAACCTAGGATAAAACCAGGGGTAAAATACGCCTAGGAAAATCTTACCCCCCTCCGGTAATATTTTCTGGGGGTATGATTTTCCTGTTACACCGACCTGGAAACAAAGGCAATAGACTTTAAGATGATGCTCGCAATATTTAAAGTAATGATAACAAATTAAAGTAGTATTAAACGCTAGAAAAAAATTGTTTCAAGATGGTAAAAGTTAAGCGATCAAAGCCCACGTATTATATAGCACGTTCACTAGTCGCTTTCAAAAGTCAACACAGTGTACAGTATACGTCGCCAATCCCCTTCATATTACCCAGAACGAAATCGGCACATTCCAATAAAGTTCAAAAAATTAAATTTTATCCTAGTCGTGTGCACTGTTTTTTCGCGACACGCCCAATTTGCGTCCCCGGCACAAATAATTTACTTAAAATAAGGCATGATTAAATATACGTGAATTATTATTAACCATTTATTAGACAATTTTCCATTATTAAGCGATTAATTATATAAGATCGATGTAACTGATGTTAACATGCGCTGTACTTACAGATTAAGTACCGATAAGCGATAAGACCCAATCCTACTACCATTAAACTTTATTCTTGCGATTATACCTTGTTTATTATATCGACAAACGAATTTAGATAGAACAACAATAATTAATGTGCAAGACATTTGGTTGTTACGACGTATTTTTTTTGCTTCCATGAACGCGATTCGTAAATAGCCACAAACATTTTCAAGTTGCCCCTCATTTTAACCACCAGGAAATAACACTATTATTATTATTTCCTTCTTCCCATTTCATCATCTTCCTATAATCCGTTGTGTTATGTTTTTTTTTTTAACGATAATATCTTTTTTACATGCCAAGTATACCTGGTTCATTTCATGTTGGCTAGGTGGAATCGTATTACCCCGACCATTTCGAGCTATAAAATAACCTGAGACCAAAACCGTGTTCGTGGTTCGGTTACCAGTTTCATTGAAAAGGTCATAACGGTATATTTGAATCTGGTGTTATCTTTTAAATACGAAAATATAAATTAAATATTTTTAATTTATTAAAAAAATTTATAAATTTTTATAATTATTTTTCGTAAATATTTTCATTTTTCCCCTCTCAAACGTTTCGCTTTTTTTCATTAAAATATTGAATTACATTCGTATGATTGCACTATTGTTGTGTATCTGTACATAATTAAAACGTATTTCATAGGTAGGTTTTGAAAAATTCGTGTTTAGTAGAAAACGTTGAAATGTTTAAAATTGTTTATATCTTATTATTAAGTTTTTTAATCTCTATCAAATAGGTAACTTATTAATAACGTAACCAGCAACAGAGAAATATAATTGCTTTTACATGTTTGTAGTGTTGTTTATATTTCAAATATACTCTTTATTCAATTCTTTCATATTTTCTCTTGTTCTCATCGTCAAATCCTTAATTTTCCGTTTTAGCCTGAATAATAAGATAGTTTAATTCTTATGGATTTCCCAGTCACGTCAGTTTCGCAGGAAATGAGTGAACCGATAGACATTTTCAACTAAATTTTCTATTCAGTTTTCTATTTTTCCCTACTATGTACTCGAGGACCCCAAGAGGAATCATTTTGCGATTTCCATCATTACATTTTCAATTTCCTTTTGCTTCTCTTTCTATCTTCTCTAATATATTTCATTTGCGATTCAAATTTTCTTCTTAACTCATGAACCACTATTATTATTTGTTCCATCATTAGTTTTATAAATTATGTTGACTTCCTAATCCATTCCACTGTTAATAATATAATATTTTTTCTCATAATACATTTGTAATTGCATTGCAATAATGTATTTGAAAAAAAAAATCTATATAGTTGTCAAGAACCAAAAACAAAAACTGAAGACAAAAATTGTTTTAAATCTTTTACACATTAAACACTCGTGTTTATTCCATAATTATCTTAAAATTCAATTATTTATAATCTTTTTTTTCACTTCGTTTGGAAAATAAATCAATGCTTCCCATGGAATATCTCAAAAATACATAAACTAGTTATGAGAAACGAGTTAAAGGATATACTTGACATGGCTTACACGTTAACATGTGACAATAATAATTATTGTTTATTTGACTAATATTATGTTTTTCATTGAAATGTAGTTAAATTATGTAATTAAAACTAATTTACTCAAAATGGTTAACATGTAAAATATGAACCTCTAGAAAAACGGCCGTCGCCGCCGCTCAAAAAAATCTGCCATCAGATTTCATTACAGCAGATATCGGCGGCGGTTGGTCATAGCTATGGATAACTGTGCTCAACACGTTTTATTATTCCGTTACAACACATAACCCTTTTCGACGGGTACCTTAAGGACTAGCTGTTATTATCTACGACGTAGCATCGAGTGATTTATTTATTTTTATTATATTTTAGAAGAATTTCACGTCGCAGCACCACTGCAGTCTTCGGTTTTTCTAAACCACCTTATTTCGACACGACACGCCGATCAACAACAATTGTCGCAGGAGCGATAAAAATGTAACCGTAGAAAATAATAAATCAGCACCGAATGGTTTTTCTTTTCAGCAGAAACTTTTCATGAAACACTATTTTTACGATTCACTTCGTATTATACGACACTTTTTATCGTGGTTGTTAAAACCGCGGTATCGTCATCCGATGTCGAAATGGGAGTATAAAATTTTGATTGAAAGAGAAAAAAAAATGTTTGAAAATCTGTATACCCGTAGACGTAGCAATCATACTCAATGGGTTCATGGATAATAAAATAAAATATATTTATTCACTAATTTGAAATAGTAAAACTGAATTAAAAACATATATTATGTGATATATGTATTTATATGTCCCAAGTACACGAAACAAAATAAAACCAATACCCTTTCGTGGTTAGTTATTAAAATTATAAATTAAATAACCATTAGATTATAATGTTAAGCAAATGCAAGACTCAATAAAATTAAAAGCAGAAATCTTTGCTATTGGACGTAAATCATTACTAGCTACCTTTCGTTAAAAAATTAAAAATCAAAATGATTCTGCTGTTGGTGAATTCAAATTAAATATGTAATCGCGTTGAAAATATGTTATACGTATGGTTTTATCGTAAGAATAGTATTCGATGTTAAAATTAATACAATTAACCGATTAACCTTGCACCAATGTTCCGAATACTTTCCGTCTAATTTTAATAATTTTTTATGAAAGAAAAGTAAATGGTTTTGCTGGGCAAAAATATAGCCGCAGGTAAACTGCACATGCCACCAACGACACGGTAATTTATAACAGTATATTTTAAGTAACACAAACGTCTTACAAAGTACTGTTTCTACGGCAAGTAGACGTGTTAAACGGGATGAACGTCTTAATCAGGCGTTTAGTACGCGCACGCAAACATAATAATAAATTATAATAAATTCCGCAAAAATCAATTTTCATATATTTTAAATAGGTAGGTATCGCGCGTATGTAGACAACAAAAATACATGGCAAAAAAAAAATGTTTCGTTTGAATACGTAGTATCTGTGTATTATGATGGTACTAGTGCGCGACCGTACAACATCCATGTTTATATTTATTACATATTGTATTATTTTTTAAAGTTACATTTTAATCAAGAGATAATTTTACTATCGCCGCAATATAAATCTATAACACTCGAGTTTATTTTTAAATTGCTATTACAAATCAAGTACGTATGGTAAGCTTAGAGTGTATACACACACACACCCAAAATAATATATACATTTAAATGATTTAATTACATTTTTTTACACGGCCCAGGTTAGTTGAAAAACACACGCGAAATGTTGATGGATTTAACAACTCTGTCTAAACTTTAATCTAACTGGGTCCATAAAACGTGTTGAAACACACGCGTAGCGCGAAACTTATTTTCTCTATCTCTTGTAGCCTTTTTAATTTTTATTTTTTATTTTTTTTTAATTTTTCAACATGATGATATTAATAGTAATTCCTAATTAGCAATTACATCATATGGTTTAGTAGTAGCTATGAATTTAATAATAAGCATTCATTATCTCGAATAACGTAAAAACAATAAATCACACCTCTACCACACAGTAGCAGCGTTAACCGAAACGAGTATGAAAGGTCGAAAAAATGATAGTTAAAATAATCTAACGGAGCATTTATTTTTTTTTTACATTCTTTATATTGAAATAGTTTATGAATTGCACGCCGGAATTTTACTATAACATAATATTTATTTGTAATTGCAATCGCAAACTAAATATACCACGACTGTATGTAAATTAATGTAAATAGGTCTTTTCCGATTTTTTTTGAAAATTAAACCTTACGTGACGCTTTTTCAAATATTGTAAATCAAACTGTTTAACATAATTCAGGGTATTATATTTTTTGAAACGTATAAATCATAAAATATATTAGTCGCGGTTTTATTGACTTTGTATATACCTGATGATGAATTTTTAATTCGAAATCGATCATAATTCACAAATATAATAATACTCCCCAGGCTAAGCTTTTATTTATTTTTGTTTCTTTATATAAACTATTTGTTAAATTATTTATATATAAAAGATACGTCAAATTAAGAAGATATGATGGTTTTCCGAGTTTAAGCTAAGATGCAATTATGACTTTAGTTAAATTTAACAAGACTGAACGTATAATGAAATTACCACATGGGAACGTTATAAGTTTTAACAAACTGGTACAGATTTTTGAACAAAAATTGTTTAAATAGAAGGAATTTGTGTATAAATTTCGTTTGACGAATTATCTTAATTCTAGAAATTAGTGTTCGTTCACTTACCAACATGAAATGTATAGAAATTTCGAAGTACGTGCCCTTCTCGAATCCGACAAGATCGTACAGAAAACCGGCTATTGAAGGGCCCAGAAACGCGCCCAGCGCGAACGACGATGACCAAATGCCCGACAGCAGACCAAAGGTGTGTATGTCGTTTGGAAAACCGCTGTCACTGGAAACGGAAAATGAAAACAAACATATGAATTTCGGAACATTGCGTTTCGTATGGCGATGCACTTACAACGCAGCTCTCATCGAATCCACAAATGTCGGCACACAAATCATACCCAAAGCGATCCCTTGAATGACCAATCCGATAATGACCAACACCATGGACCTGGAAACGAATAAAAACAATGTTTCTCAAAATAAATAAATAAAAACGTGATACGAGTTATAAACTGCAGTATTTTATGGGTACACAAATGCGTAGAAAATTGAATTATTCGTACTGACTGTGTGTGTGTGTCTGTGTATGAACATATGTGCGGGGAAAAATGGTTTAGTATTGACGGTACAAAAAAAAAAAAAAAAAAACTGAACGAAATAAAGAAGTTTATTCTTATTTAAAAAAGAAATGGAAGACTGAAAAAAATATTTGACGGAAAGTAACTGACAAATAGTTATAGATTACACACATTTATATTTACGGATCCCTTTCTTTTTTTTCATTATTGTTTCGAATGCGCTTTGGTATTATTGAGCAATAATTGATGTGTTCTTGGAAGAATTGTGACCGATACTTATAAAATATTTAAAAATAATTCGTTCCCAGTATTTGAGGCTGGTGGCATCAAATACATATTTTATTCCGCTTAACCTTTTTGTTTTCTAAGTACGATTTAAGATGCCCGAAACCAATCAATTAAACCATAAATTATTGAGCAGCCGAAAAGTGAACATTCACGAGCCCGTTGCTAACTCCGATAGTAGGTTACTGAGTAGTAGTGCAATATAAATACATTACAATGCATTTTAAACGGAGCTGAACAAAAAATAAATAGCTTAGTTCATATTAGAATAATATAATCTAATCTAAAGTTTAGAGAATAACAGAATCGGTTAATATTTAAAAAAATATTTTTTAAGTATTTACCTGTGCTTTTTATACAAATTCAATGATAACCTGAATTTTAAAGTAACTTGATTTTAGAGTTTATGTCTTATAATGAATTTTAACGTATATAAGTTACGAAAATTACTTGGTTTCTAAAATTGGCCGATTTCGATTGAGAAAATATTTATTTTACGAGGGACACTAAAAAGTTACACAATTTCATTATAAAAAATTATACATTATGTTTAAGAAACATTACACACATTTTTCTAAAGATTTTAATAAGTTCTAATACTATTCTAATATTTCTTAAAAATGAAGGTTGAAAAATTACTTTTTCGGGAGTCTTATAAAGGTCGTACGTGACTAAGACGTGATCTCTATCACATCAAGTTAACTTCATTATCATTTTTCTAATGTAACCATCAATGATAACAATTTTAAAATTTACCGCATACCGTATTACGAAAATCGTATTGACGTCAGATAGTCAAACAAAATGTGTCCTTATTGTACTTATTTATTTTCAAAATCAAATTAAGTAAAGTTCACTATTTTCTCACGTGATTACTTCGTGTTATATATACTGACCTTTACCGATTCTATAATCTAAACTTAATTCATTTCTAATTAACGTTTGTTTTTAATTCTAATTATTTCGTCTATAGCGCTCAATATCAATGCTTAATCGATAAACCACAATCACTTCACTTTAGCACCTAAGAGTACAAAAATTATTAACAGAAAAAAAAATTCAGACTATTCCTCAGATTTTTTTTAAATCTGTTGTGTAATTAGCATATGTGTAATTAGCATGTGAAAAACACAGTATCTCAAAATAAATTTCGATTACACTTCATTATCAGATTAAATGTTGTTAGTGATAATCGATATAATATAATTTTCGAATAACCTAAATTCTATAATACATATGATAATACCTATGATAATATGTTTATTTACTTTTAACGAAACAATTTCGATTTTTCTCTCATCGGCAACAAAATATTTTCATTACAAATTCGAATAAATTGATGCTCAATTATAATGGCAATATACGTATTGTAAATGTCAATGAGTTATAGAATACATCCATTGGGCGAAACGTGTACAAAAGTATCGAATGATTAACATTTAAATTAGGCGTGCCACTAGTCACACATCTCCGTGAACATAGAAAATTCATGTAGAAGAATAAAAAGTGAACGCTGGGATTGAACTATGGTATTAGTTAATAGCCGGAACGCAGCAGCTAGGGAATTGCACGAAATTCAAGTCGTGTTCAGAGCAACGGAGGGTTAAAACGGAGTAAACCATAGTACTTGGAATCGTCGGTGAATGCAGAATTTGTCGCATAGTCTATAGAATACGATAAGTGGAGTTTTGTGCGTTGTACATGCACAACACAGATGTTTTAAAATTAAATCCTGTAGTAAACGTATCGAATGAATAATAAATTTATAATATAATAATATATAATAAGGATTTACTTTGTACAAAGGGATCAAATGTACAAAATAATAAGCGTTAATGCAACGTGTGGTTGCAAAAAATAATGTCAAATTTCATAAATAAGGACAGTTATATTCTAAGTCTTATGAAATCTGTCTCGGTAAATTTTGAATTCCATCTCATAACCCTTCGGTTCACGATTCTGTCAACATTTTATTTTCTACGTTAATAATAAATTTTTGTGACTTTCCAGAACTTTTTTTTTTTTTTGAGTTCAATAAAATATCTAGTTTCCAATTTTCAAGTACAACATTGCAAATGTTACGTTAAAATAAATGTAAAACGCTCGTAAAAATAAATTTTTAAATTAAGCTCAATTTTTATTATTATCATAATATTTATGAGGAACTTTGTAATTATATTCAGGACTTTTTGTCAAACCAAAATTATTTTATTGAAATTTTTGAAGTTAAGAAAACTCGAACATTTCTTTTTCATAAATAGTTTTATTTTATCAAAAGTCTTTTAAAACATATACTATCTATAGCTAATGGTGATTAAAGTTGTCGGAGAAAATTTCAAGTCTCTACGATTATTATTTTTTGAATTAAAATGAAAAAAAAATAAATATTTTTGTTAAAAACCGATATGTTGTAAATGTTGTCTCTTTTTTTAAAACTTTTCGTCAGGTTTTCGCAATTATTAAAAAAAATGTCGGAAAATTCATTAGATGACCCTCTTCAAAGTTCCAATTCAACAATATTTTCTTTTAGAAATCTCTTGTGATTTTGATTGACGGAACAATCCTTCTAGAAGAAATCGTACATACAGTTTCTCAAAAAAGAATTATACATTCCTCATTTCACTCAAAATCTAAAAATGTATAATTATTTATATGTATAAACACTTAAATTAAGTACTTCTGTATTATCACATCATAAAATGTCGATATTATAATCGAAAAATATATGCACAAGCAATGGCGTTTCCAGGGGTTTCCACCCCCCTCCCCAAGATTTTTTTTTAATGATATTTGATTATTATTTATTAATATTTACATATTACAGTAAAATATTTTGATTTTACTATGATAAGCTATATATTAAAAATTGAGTAACAAAATAATTTTCATTAAATACGAGACATAATAATAATACCATTTTAAATGTAATATTATTACATATGACCTCGTTTTAAGATATACTAAGAACACTTATAAACTTACTCTTAAACACCCTCCCGTCCAGAAAAAAATTGTATCTACGCCACTGTGCACAAGATATAGTACATATTAAGTTTTTTTTTTCAATTTTCATTTAAAGTATAATTTTTCGTAAACAGTATAAAGAGTGTACATCGTACACAATGGTACTGTAACATGCACTATTGGTACAAAAATGCTATACTGCAACGTTTTATGTACAACGAGTTCCTTTACATAGTTTATTAATCGTTCGTTAAATTCATATTTGGAATATTATTATTGAAATAATAATTTACATAACCCGTATTTACAACGCCACGGTAACGCGAGAAGTACAACATGCAAGACACGACGTCAATGTACTTGGTAAACGAAAAACATATATATTTTAGTAGAATGAAAAGGATATAAAAACTATTTTTCTATAAATCAAAGTTTTCGTGTAACAGTGATTCAGAGTGACCGAAATCAATAGGATTAGCGACGAGAATTTTATAAGGGGCTGCGAAGTATATGGGGTGGAGGTGGGGTATTAGGGTAGTTAAAATAAAAACATATGTTCGACCGTACTTTTCGAGCGGCATAAAAGGAGCTGGTCCAACGATGGAATAACTGATGATGGTCAAGATGGATCCCATGATCATTACTTTTTTCGGATTCAGTCCGGTATCGCAAATGTATCCGACGACAGGAGCTATCAGAGCGTACGTTCCACCGCTGATGATAAACACGAACCCGACGTCCACAGACGAAAGTCCAAACTATGAGACAGATACCAACGTGATACAGTAACAGTTATAATAATAATAATAATAATTATAATAATAATAATAATAAAATAATACTAATTATTTATTTATTTTAAATTGTAGACATTGAATACTGGTCACCATCGAGAGAACTCATTTGGAGTCCTAGAATATCTTACACTAATTATAGTATACAAATTTAGGCCAAAATGCAATATACAAAACATTATGAAAAAAAATATTTTAAAAAAAATACAATAATCTAAGTAAAAGTAAACGAACAAAAATTGATAGAATCATCAATTAATTAAAGCAAATTAATAAATGATAATAATAAACAATAATGTTATGACTACGTTTTGTATGTACAGGTATATGTACATGTAACCATAAACGACGCGTACTGGTGCACTTGATAAAAATTTTAATTAGGGAATATTTACACATCGCGAACTACTAATTTCTTATGTATATTTTTATAATTTTTTGTTTTTATTTTTCAGTACAACTTTGATCGAACTTTATCTCAAGGTTCATGTCGAAATGCACGTATACATGTCCGAGTCCCCGTGTTGCACTACGCATATATGCGAAACAGAACGAAGACGGTTTATGTTCACAAACTAATAGGATTTTGCGGGGTGGACAAAAATGTCAAAAGTCTCATTAACACGTGCCAGTTAATAATTATAGTAAATAGACTCGGAACATAACAGAAACATTGCGTACCTAAGTGAACAGCGCGATCGAAAAATGCCACCCCTGAATATTTTTTTAGTCCGAACGAGCGAGTTTGTGCACGCGTTTCAAAACGAAGTTGCGAATCGACTGCAATCCAAACCGAGGACCTTGTGATTTCATTCAAATCGTACACAAAATGCTGACCGTTGAATATCCATAAGTAGATACTTGATTTGGATTTATTTTGACCAGATTGTCTGCAGTTCGTTTTGTGTCATTATCAGCTGCGCACAAGTATTTTCAGGTTTAGACGGTACTTATGTTATTCAAGGAACGTGACTGCGAGTAGTAAATATGATATAATAATGAGTGTTATTATTAACTAAAAATAGTTTTACTGTTCACAAAAAACATGCGTACACTTCAAATACTATTTTGAAAATGTACTCAATATAACCAGTAGGTACGTCGAAATGTCAATGTACAATATATTGCGTCAGACATTATATGATAATACCGTACAGTTTTACATTATTATATAATTGATTATTTCTATGTACAATTAATATAAAAATTGTATGAGAAAAAAAACGGATTCCATTTCAAATGTCATCGAAGAGGTTAACTCGTTGATATTTTACATGAAACACATGGAAATAAACGTTATACTGATCATTTATTATCTGTTCTGTCTACGCATTTACCATACATGCAAACATGAGTCGAAAACTTGGGCATAGATCTACTAAAACTATTAATTCCCACAAAATCTTAAATACTTTCGAAAAACAGTTGAAATCTGACTAAATATTAAAATGTAATACTTTAAGAGTATACTCAGTATGTATGATAAATGTCTGTGCTAACGAATAAAATACTTTTAATGACTTTATAATAATTTAAATTTTAAAATAATTACATATCCATATTAGTTATGGATAATAATTATACACGGATGACTGCACGAAAAAAGAAGTAAATTTTTCGCTTCCCTATGACAAATGTCCCACCCTCACTGAAAATATTGAACCTTTCAACTTTTCGCAATAAACGTTTATTTTTTATAAGAACAACTTTGAAGAGTAGATAACAGATAAAAACTCATGCTTAAATGGCAAGCCTTTTATTATAGTATCAATACATTAGAAAATGTATAGATACGCATTCACGTTTCGGAAATTAATATAAAATAATCTTATACAATTTAAACGTTTTAAATACTTTATACGAATAACAGACTTAGATGAACTCACCCCTCGGATGTGTGGCTCCAACGTCGCCGAATAGTATCCCATAGCCGTGGCGGTGATCACTGTTGCGATGGAGTTTATGAGCACGGTCGGGACGCTCATGAGGTGCATTACCTTGGCTGCGAAACGGACGAAGTTATCATTATACGAATATTATCAATTTTTAAGCCGGTCTCAACGGACAAATCGGGTATTTCGCGCTTACTTTTGGCTTTGTTTGGGCTGGGCACGTCCTGTTTCATTAGAATACACACCAAAACCGAAGTTCCCAGCGTGATGAGGCCCATGACGATGAACGGCAGCGGAAAGTCACCGACCTGCAAACATGGTGATTTAGTGTTGTGTAAATATACACATTATGATTTAATATCAAAATCGAATACGTGTGCTCGGACTTACCTCGAATAACAAAGCGCCAAGAGTCGGTCCGACAATGTATCCCATACCGTAGCATACCTCAAGAGCGGACTATATGAAAATAATAAAACGGTTTTGATTGATTTAAGTTTAAAACGACAATCACTAATTCTAATCAACACATATGTAATCCGTGTGGTCAGTGATACTAGTAGCGGATTAAAAAACTATTTTATAATCCATATTTTTCGTCGTGATTAATGTACGTAGACAAAATAAATGAAAAAAGATAAAAAAAAAAGCAGTAAAAATTTTTTTTTGTGTTACTGGTTACCGATTTTAAACCGATCGTGTCGTTAGCGGTAACCAATTTTCGGTACTACATTGAAGATTACAGGTTACCGATTAAGCGATAACCACTTCGAATTTTTTTTAGTTATTGGTAACTGATTGATTACCATATCAGAAACAGACAACTTTTTAAGGAGTGTTCACAACTCAAATCACCATATCGTGTCGTTAAGACGTGATCATAGAAAAAAGATTAAACGTGGTCCTCCCTTTATATTATTCTGATTGGTTGTTGTTTATTTTTATTTTTTATTAATACAGTTATAAACCTAACCTACTAAATACTGAAAAACACACTAGTTTAGTTTAAAATTTTATAAAACAATAAATAAAAATAAATTAGTTATTAATTATTATTTTCTTTATTTGTTAAACAAGATATTTCCTTTTATAATCATTATACTTTCCAATAGATGATAATAAAGATTGCAAATCACTCAAAATAAATTTGGGTCCTAAGAAACTCCTTTCCACTGAGACTTTTTTAAAAATTAAATTAATTAAAATTAATTTACAAAACTGATTTTAATTATCAAAAAAAATTATGTTTCCATCGTTATAGGAGATATGTTTATAATTTATATTTTATATTTACCTGAGCGCATGGTACACAGCCTTTACAACTAGTGAAAGTTTCTAAAGTTTAGGTCTAATTATGAATAACGGGTAATATGAAAACATATTATGTTATTAACGTTTTTTATTATAGCTGGAATATCGTCACGGTAACCGGTAACCGATAATCGAGAATAAAAATGGGATTAAGAAAACGGTAATCGATTTCAGGTTTCTAAAATTTCGAGAAATCACGGGTTTTTAGTAAAACCCTGTAATCGGTTTCAAGCCTCGGTTTTAAATGAATTTTATAATGTTAATCACATTACGTTATGAATTACTTTCAGTGCGACCGATAAAGTTAGATCGTCTTTTTCTTTCTTACTTTAAATGGTTATAAAACGTCTTGTTGGAAAATGATGATTAATACTTACGAAAGTGCTGGCTACCGATTCGGGAAACGAGACGGCTGTTAACGAAAACGCGGCTACCATTGCACCCGTGGCGCCAAGCGATTCCAGTGTCCGCAGAAGCAGCGACAGCAGTAGGAACGTGTACCTTCCATCGACGTACGTCAAAAATCTGCGACGGGTAAGTCAAAACAAAATATTATTACGCGCATTCGGCCGTCAATGCTAATCGATATGTTTTCTCGTTCGGTTATTTAACATTACCCGAAAGCTATGGTCGACAGAGCGTTCAATACAATGCCGATCACCAACATGTATTTTAAACCGACTTTTTGAATCTGAAACACAACGTAAATATTTACAATATAAACATATATTAACAAACCGACATGGCGAATAAAGTGGGCAAGTATACGTCTAGTACACGTGAACGGTGAAAATACTGTTTATGTGTGAAAACTAATTTTCTAGGGAAATGAGGTTTTTGAAACACATTGGTTTTAATGCAGCTGTCGAAGTGCACATATGTTCCATTGTTGTAATCGTTTTCGAGAAAACATTTTTAAGTTTCGACGCTACGATGGACAGGGGTGTACGCGGATATACGCAGTATACCCGTCTGCGGATTTTCGATTTTTGGCGTATACCTAATGTAAAATATTTTTATTTTACGGCTCTTAAAATAACTCGTAAACCAAATAAAACTTATTTAACTGTTCATTGGAAAAAATTGTTATGAACCATGAAGTTTGAATGAATTATTTATACGTTGAAGATTACAGTGTACATTTTACAGTTTAATGTATTTTAAGTTCAATTTAGTAAATAATATTTTGAAAAATAAATGGTATTAAATATAATATAGAGTATGGACTTTCAGCTTATGCTTCATAAATCTGCATCAAGCAATTTATAACGCGCAGCAAATGTTTATTTTGTGATATTATATTTTATAGTCTTATCAGAAGTTATAATATATAAGGGGTTAATCTAATTTATTCGAGTTTAACAAGAAAAAAAAATATCGAGTGAATTGAGAACATTTTTTTAGTATTAATATACATATTATATTCGTGCGTATACCCATAAATATATTTACCAATACACCACTGATGATGTATGATACAATACGATAGTTTATCATCGATAACTATTTAAAATTTATATAGGCGCGAGATACCATGGTGTATGTTTCCTGATTATATAGTTCTGGCAGGAGAAAATCTGGAAGAAGTTAATAATAGGTCGAATGAGAGGAAGTCAATCTTTGAAGGAAAGGGATTGGAGAATTACTAGTAAAATAAAATAGAGTACATAGAGTATGGCACTGGAGGTAGATACCAAGAAGTTGAGAGGATGAGAAGGTCAACGATAATGAGCGGTGATGTGATAGGTGCAGGGGCGGATACAAGGGGGGGGGACAATGGGGGTAATCGCCTCCCTTCGTTTAACAAAAAAAGTATCAAATTTGATTTTGTAATGAATATTTCATTTTTAGAATTTGGGCCATCAAAATAGGTATACCTATCATTCTAATCCCCTTTCACTATTACTATTTACTACTGTAGTTTTTACGATAACAGTAATCAATAAATCTATTTTTAAATTAACTATGCATGCCTTATACAATCATGGTTTTACCGCTACTTGCAGCTTGCATTTGATTGTCGCTGTCGTATCGTTCAAATTAAAATCATCTTGTTTTGATAATATTGTGTTAAAAATATAATATAACATTGATATTTTATCGAATAAATTAAGTAATCGCATATTTGTTTTTCTGCAATTAAGAGAATAAAAACTTGACTGCGGTGCAACATGTTACAAGAAAGACTTTCTGGATTGGCGAGATATATTTTCAAAAAATAATAGAAAAAAAGATTTTATAATTTAAAATATTTTATAAATTAATTTATATATAATAATTATCATAAATAATAATGAGCAGTAATTTATAAAGATTAATAAGTTTTTTTTAAATAAATACATAAAGTTTTTCATTATCTAAAAAATAAACACCTTTTTTTTTAAATAGATGATATTTTTTTAGCCTATAACTAATAAATTGCCCCTCCCCCCCGTTTAAGGCCTCTGTATCCACCCCTGGATGGGTGAAGTTGAGAAATTTAAATATTTAGGATCGTTTGTATAAAAGGACAAGGGCTTTGGATTGAATGTAAAACATAGAGTTAAGTGAGGTTAAATGAAATAGGGAGAAGCGTTGGACATTTTATACGCTAAGAAAATTCCAATGAGGCTGAAAGGTAAATTTTACAGGAATATAGTGAGACCAACCATACTATATGGTTTGGAGTGTTGGGCGGCTGAAAGGAAGACAGAATAGAGTACGAGTGTTGTGGAAATGAGAATGCTTAGATAGATGAATAGAGTGACAAGAAATAATAGAATAAGGAACGAATAAGTGAGATAGTATTAATAATGAATCAGATGGTAGTCTGGTCTATGTTATTATTTAACAAAATCAAAAGTATAGAAAATGATAACATTAAAAAAAGGATGTAACAAGAAATGGTTTTAGATGAAATAATAAATCAATTTTTAAAATCGCATAAGCTGACAAAAAAACAATCAATAACAAACTTTCTGAAGGCCTAGTGTACAATATATTTGTAAATAAACGTGAACTATTCACAAATACTTCTTGACCGAATACATTATAATGTATAAGAACTTTTGGAATGAAACGATTTCCAAAGTTTATAACACGTTCTATACGGTATAAAATTTAAACGGTGCAGCGTAACAATCTCTCACCTTGCACACATATTTCTCAATTAAATTTGTAAATTAATTGGACGGTTAAGAAAATGTGCATGGGGGACGAAGCTCTTATCTATTTTTTATAACTTTTTTTATTTTTTCATACACGCTCTAATGCATTTGTTAATTTAGAAATAATTTAGTATCAGAAAGAAACATTATACGGTCCATGCAGTTGTAGCCTACAACTTGTAGGTGTCCGTAATTCGATGTATTAATATCTAAATCATATTTACCGTCTTATTTGATAAAATAATTATTTTTGAACGAATGTTACTTATTTATCAATGACGAACTTTACATTCAACTACAAATACCGCAATCCAAGATTATACGCGAAAATTATTTTTCATATTTGTACGTAACAGTTGCTAACGGATTGTTATATTATGTTGGGTAAAAAACAAAAAAAAAAAAACGAAAACCTTATCCGTAAAAACAATAAGCTCATGAAAAGATTACACTTTATTTTTATTATATACAAAAACGCATAAATTGAAATACACAGTTTTATCTTTTCTGCTGGTATTAGTAAGATATTTAAATTGTTCGCTAACAGTTTGATTCGATGATAGAAAATAAAACATTTGCGTATCGATTCCAGTGTAACATAAACACACACGAGACCAGTGCCGCCCGACTGCACAGTCAACGTGACCACTCCATTTGTATATACGAGTACATTATTATTGACTAGATTGTTTTACAGTAATTTTAATCTCTAGGTAAAATCCGATTTTCATTCGTAATTAATGCAAAATCAATACGATTAGAGAAGAAATACCTATATCGAACAACGTCGCGTTTATGGCACGTTTATCAATGTGTATACATAACAATATGGTATTAATACTAACAATTAAGCGCAACAAGGCATAATAATGGAACATTAAATAATACGGATAAGTCATTAAATAGACGGAAATTCGGAGTAAACTGCACACGCGTGTGCGTGGAAGTAATATTTTAACAATCACGATTATCTGCATGAATGTAAAGCACGGCGTGGGGATATTTATAAACTGGGTATAAATACTTAGCCCGGGTGTGCGTGTGGTGAAAACAAACCACGATGATTCAACAAAATTTGGATAAAAATCTTGCATTCGACTGCAACGATTGTTTAATCTTAATATTATTGTTTTTGTTAGAAAAAAATATATATGCCATGTATTTGTGCTGAATATATTTCGTGTATGCTGCATCAAGGCGCGGGTTATGCACGTATTGCAGGTTAGTAATGCATAACGAATGATCGTGATGAAAATTTATTTTGATGACGAAAATCATCGCAGTATAATACGAAGTGTACACAAGTATATTGAATGCAATAAAAAGGATTCAATTAGTGGAGGTAAATTTTCAGTTTTTTTACTTGATATAAAAAACCATATTTTTCTTTCTTGACATTACCCATGTGACAATAATTCGAATAAACTCTTCATCATCTCACACCGTAGCTTCACTGAACACTTATTAATTTTAGAAATCGAGAGAAGCGAATAAAAATGAATTAGTTTTACAATAATGTTTATTTTACTGATCAACTTAAGTAACGAGTCCGCACCAAAAGTCGTATGAGACTTTGGTGTATTTAATTATTAAATCTGATAAGATGAAAAAAAAAAATTGAGAAAAACATAGTTATGAAACTAATAGAATAAACGGTGACTTAATTTTATCATTCGATTCACTCGGAGCTTAAAATTAATCACCATGTACTTCCGATGTAAATTTAAACTTTTCTTTTCATTTCAAACAAGTACGTTTGGAATTCTCGGATTCTTTGGATGTTCGATGCTGCACAGGACAGAAATAATGTATTCAGCATGGTTAAGCCTCTCAAGCTTTCTGGTTTAGCCGCTAAACGGTCGTGTAAACGATATGTGTACAAAAGTTTACTACAGTCGTATTTTGTTATTTTTATTTTTTTCCATTTACTTACCAAGCTCCCGAAAACGGGCGACGTGACGAACGCCACCAGCTCGAAACTGCCAAAGACGAAACCATACTCCGTAGCCGTGCAGTTTTTTTTCTCTGCCTGTAAACACAAAAGACAATAAATAACGAGATAAAACGTTGAATTGCTCGTGTTTAAAAAAACACACAATATAGTTTCCTCTTCGGACTCGGCGAAAACCTGTACGTATACGTGTGTCTATAGCGCGCGTCTTTGTTTCTCCATATTATTAATGATGTAACTTAATGTGATTTGTACAACAACCTAGTCGTCGATAACAAATAAGGTACGCCGACCTTCGTCAATACTCAAGATTTTAATAACGCACAAAGAGTAAATGTTATTTAATTCCGAAAAACACGAGAAAAAAGAAAACGTGTGTTCGACGACATTGTAATCGTTCGGAAAACAACCGGTGGTGTCACGATAAAATATTAATTACATGCAGTGAGGGAAAATTCGTGTGAAAAATATATAAAAATCGAAATTATTATTTTACAATAAAAGTGCAAGTTTTTATCCGAGAAAGCTACGCAACGATTGCTAGAGCTTTTAAATCTCGATTTCGACAGATCCTTTATCAGTCGTCCAATTATACGCTGATAGAAAATATATGGAAGTTATCAGAGTACAAACTATAGTTATTTACCCGAACAATTTACAATTATTTAATAACTATCTATGGATTCCTTTTGAAATCAGTTTTTATCAAGTTGAATGCAGACGGTTACAGCGACCTTTAGTGACTGCGTCCGCATATAGCCTCTGCCATTATTTTAACAATAGGATAGCGCGTAACTGTACATGTCTAACTGTAAAATCAATGTCTACAACTACTAATGCACTTTGTGGACATTTCGGCGGAAAAGGGAAACATTTCCAATCAGAGCCTCCACCCCACTCTGCAGAAAATCTGGCTATCCCATATATAATGACCGAGTGATAACACGATCGCTTGTAAAAATATTTTTTGGGACGAAACTCGCATCTTGGTCATACATGTGGGCTTACGGGTACGTGTGAATAAGCTCGAAACGCGAAAGAAACTAATCATTTTACTCGTTGGAAACTATTGAGAGTAGTAGGTGACAATCATAATAAAATTAATGATAAAATTAATGATAAAATTATGATTGTCGCCTTTTGCTGTTTTGCCCAATATATAATGATGGACAAAATAGTTGGACGAACGCGGGGAAAAATTCGAAACTATACTATGTCGAAAAATCCGTTCAAGTCGACGCGATCCAAGCTCGACTCGACATAATGAACATAAGAATATAATATGTTTTACGTACGTTCCTCGGGAATACACGAGTTGCGATGGTAATATCGTTATTATAACGTGCAAGTTATGCGGACTGACAAAAAGTAACACATTATCAACTCGTGTTGGACAAAAATACGAACCCGATTAGATAAACTCGAGATTAAAGTTTTCACACCGTGTCCAACGATTATTATATACATTATTACTTGAAATTACGCGTAGATAGAGTAAAAATAGATACAGTTAATACAATATTACATTGAGAATTCACAAGGATGGAATGTAAACGTGTTATATTTTGCATTATGTGTACGCCGCAATGTATGTTGTAAATTTATTATGATTTATTAAATGTCGGTGGGGAAAAACATTGAACCAATTTTTTATTTTTTCATTATTTTAACAGCGCTACATAATTCATTAGGCATACTCCGTAGACCAACATACTTTTTCTAACATGTCATTTCGTTTTCACGATTTCAAACCGAACATTTTTTTCATTTATTTTTTTTTTTTTTCAAGACGCTCGAATTTGTTTTCAAGACACAACAAAAACTTTAGCGTTGTACAAAAACGATTACATCGAGTCTGCTGCACTAATCGTACAAAGTTTTTATTTAAATTCGACGCACGAAAATTTCAATTAAATGTACTGATTTTTACTCGTCCCTTATAGCCGTAAGCTCTAAGCTATAAAAAGTGTTAAGTCGAACAAGTTTGATGAGCAACTCCTCGGGGTCTTCTATACTATAACGATTCCAAGGAATAAGAATCGTAAAAGGGTCGTGTTTGGTGTTTGTGAAAATACAATTAGCGACTGAATGTGTCATATTTCAATTCGAATTGATCAATAAATGTTAATTATCGGCAACCGAAACATTTGTTGAACTTCGAACACCATCAATTAATAATTATGTTGTGCATATGGTTCACGAACGTACTGAAATTCGATAAAACTTAATATATTTATAATATATTTAACATATATTAATATTATATTATAACTAATACTGTAAACTTAATATATATTGACTTAATAATGCGATACGTTATAGTTTATATATATATATATATATATATATATACATATTTATGGTCGCGAGGAAAATAGAACATTTGAGAACTCAATTTTATAACGATAAAAATTACGTTAGGATTTATAAAATACACTTATAGGTCAATGGTCAGACACGGCATCCTCGTACGTTTGTTGTCAAATTTTTATTATTTCCCGAAACGGTGTATTAAATCGCGTTTTCCGATCGCAATGCAAACGCAATACCTCGCTTGTGCATACCACCGAATGAAAAACGTCGTATTATAATTGTTATCTATTGTGACGCGTGCGTGTTTTTCGATTTTTTAATCGAAATCGAATTTACATAACACGAGTATATCTCAAGCATTCAAACGTCGTGCGAAACTCGCATGTAAGCGTTCTGGTCTTATTTTTTTGACGAGGAAATATTTAATCGACAACGGAATATTACGCGTATACACCATACTACACCGAACACGTGCGGATGCCGGCAATTTTTTCATAAACACCTCGTGCACGGCGCATAGATTTGCCACGCGCAATCGTTATATCGCACAAATATGAAAATAACACGCGAAACTCGCTCGTTAAATGTTCTACGGGCCGTCATTGAAAATTAACGTCGAAACTTATTGTAAACTGTTCAATCTCATTGCGTTTCGACGATAGTATTTATCTCGAAAAATAATTTAATTACGAATTCGATCTGTGTACGCGTTTCACGCAACACACCTATTATTACTATTTACTCGGCAGTACTGTAACATCGTGACGTCACGAGAAACACAATGTTAGGTCCATATTCTTTCTCATAATCAACTTGCGCTAACACAAGTAAATAATTAATTATTTTTTTCGACACGGTCCTTATCTACCGACGGTTTGAGTATATGATTATAATCGTACAAGTCGTATGAGAAAATGCGCTATGATGCTCGACCATCGTTGTAGATCATATTGTTAAATTTTTTATTTTATTTAAATCATACCAATTACAACAATAATGATTACCAATAACTTGAATGAAATGAAACGTATTTCTCGAGGCCCGTACGAAACGATTGTTTACCACAATACGCGTGGACCGTTCAAATCATTTGGCTCTCCCGCGGCGGCGCACGTGAACGGTTGACGGTTGGAGTGTCCGAGAGACTACGTGTACCCGTCGACGGGTAAGTCGTTGCCGAAAAGTTGGGACCGCGCACTTGCCAGGGACGATAACGTGAGTGGCCGGCAGCCGAACGTACGCGAACCGCGTCGACCATCAGCGGCACCGATCCCTACGTGTTACGGAGTGTGGGAACGCCTGATTCGGGCGGGCCGGGATGGCAAGAGTCGATTTGGATTCCGGATACATGACCACTTCGAGACCGCGATTACAACAGCGTTCGTTTTCAGCGTTCCATCGCAGTCGCTCGGAGATCTGATCCGTACGCGTACGGAAAGGACGTCGAAGGGCGCTCGGGCCGTGTAACGCGCAAACGCGGTCGCGTTGTACTCACTTCTTCCGGGTAAAAAGGCGCCTGCAGGGATATGCAGATGGCGCAGCAAAAGTGCACGGAGCCGACCACGGCGAGTATTATCCATTCGGAGGGCGTAAACTTCATGGTCGAGCGGCTGCCGGTCGCTGGTCGCGGGGCTGTCGGATGCGACGGCGTTGGCGGGGTAACGTCGACCGGTTAGGTGGTGCGGTGTGCACCGACGACGGCGGCGGCTGCGGCGGGCGCACCTTCGTCCGCGCGGAAGACGTTGAAGTTTCTGCGGCGGACAACGGACGAGACGGTAGTAGTGGTGACGTAGCACGAGACGACGTTTGGCCGACACACGTCGACGCGACTGCGGACGAAGAAAAAACAACGAGAATAAAAATGAAAAAACAGTAGAAAATCCAAACGAACAGTCGAAACCGACAGATTTGTCTTTTTCTTTTTTTTTGTTCGCGATACCGTTTTCAAAAACCTCTGACCACGGGTCCGCGCGCGCACGCACACACACACGCACACACTGACGGTTGCACGCGCGGCCGTTCGGCGATCGATGTGCGGGCAAGTGTCGATGCGCACGACAAACCACGCGATGATATACTAAACCGCGTCCATCCGGAACGCGCGCGTACAACCGTCGGCGGCGGCTGCTGCGATAAAAACCGACCGACGGCTCGCGTTCGCCGCCCTACCCTGCCCCGTACCTGCACAAGTGCGATAATCAGCGGTTATATTATTATTATTATTATTATTATTATATTGCGCGATAACAATATACATTGTGCGTGTGCGCATTGTTGTGGTTCGATTCGAAAGCCGCGATACGGGTGAGAGGAGGGACATTATTCCTGTACGGTTGCGGCGCGTTGCACGTGCCGATAACGCCGGTTCAATTCTTCACCCACCCCCGGCCGCAACCCCAGCAGCGCCCCGTGAACGCCGGTTGACGGCCGAAAACGTCGCCCGGTGACCGACCGGGTTTTCGGCAGCTGACGCTTTCGGACAACGTGCCCGTAACCGGAGATTGACCGAACGAGTGGTTGCCAAGATAAAAGTTCACTGGTGGTTTGCTTCATATGGTCATCGCGGACGATCTATACCAGGGATCGGCAACTGGCAAGGTTTTTCGGGGCCAGGGGCGGATTAGTTTGAGGACCCTTCCACCGTAATAAGATGTGATAAACAAAATACTCACTGAGAATAACAGAATTCTTGCAAACGTATTTTTTCCAAACCTTAACAAATCAAGCTCATTTAAATCCATGTACTGCATTGCATACTTACTTAACAGAATTTAATATTATTCATATTATTTATAGTTTAATCGCTAAATATAATAGGACAAGTCGCTACACGCTCACACGCGCGCGACTTAAATCTTCGACACGCAGCGTGTAAAATTGCTCGGTGTAATCGAGACTTTTTAACTAATTATTATATATCAAGACGTTATGGGGCCCCCTCAAAAAAAAATTCCAACAATGGGGCCTGGGGTATAATAATCCCGTTGTCCCCACCCCTCTGATCGGCCCTGGACGGACCACGAATGTCAAAACTCTGGACCCTTTCAACACATTGTACTTGATCGTGTTATTTACCGTAATAGTATGCAGTATATATTATTATTAATAGAAAATGTATATTTCATTTATCAAACTCAAAGATTATAGTTGTATCACAATGCATTGCAAATATTTCATCGGGCGTGTACCTAATGATCGGTTTTATTACTATTTCATCGGCCAAGTCGCCAAAACACCAAATATATTGATGGCGTTAACCCGTCACTGGTCTCACAACACACCGTCGGTTTAAATAGAATATAATTAATCTATTAAGAGGCTGCGTATGAGAATAATATGTGTACTTCATCCCCTATATCACCTGGCGCCTCTACAATAATCTTGTGCTTCGATCAGTTTACGGCAGTGAGCAGTAGTGTACTCGGTGAATATTATATACATGTAGGATATTTGTGTATACCGAATCAATGGTGGCGGGAAGTCTTTTATTCGTACCACCAATTGCATAGGATCACTTACCCAGCTACCCACCAAAATTATTAATACTTGTAGATTGAACGAAGTAACAATGTTTATAAATCATAAATTATACCTATTTCAGTGTTTCAAATTCCATATAATTATTATAACGTGTTCGGAGTACGGGTATTTTACCAAAATAATTATTTTCTTCGTTTTATTCGAACAAAGACCGCTAACCTTAATCATTTTATGAATCACGTGGTTCAAATACAACCCCTTCTCGCTGCCACTGTACTAGACGGATTGTTTTACGCTTTGCGATTAACCCAAATTATTATTCGATGTTATTAAACGGGACTCGCGTAAACTATATACACAATTAACCACACACGCACGCGGTATTTTTATAACAAGTTACTATGGTAGTAACTCGTTAACAACGCGATACGATTACGTGTCACTATTTACCAATATTATTACGCGTGTCAAGTAATGGCCATAATGGCAAAAACAACAACATATGCAGACCTATTTTCGTACTACGTTCATTACGACGGTGTATGTTTTTTTTCGAATTATTCATCGAAAGAATATAACAATAATACAAAACGAGTGGCGAAAATATATTAACAAATGTGTTATTTTTATCTATTCCCGTCCGACGTACGTGTACTGTACACTTTTTTCCACACTATAACTGGGAAACGTCATAAACAATTAAATATTTTTAAATGATTTATTATCACGCATGTGTGTGCGTCCACTTGTATAAAATACGAGTATACGACTAAATCATAAAATTTATAAAAGATACTTACGAATTATCTTGACCCTGAATTATGATGATGTGTTCATAATATATTTATCGTCTGAAAACTGATTGAAACGAATAAATTACAATTTATAATATTTTTAACAAGACTTTCAATAAGCCTTGTAAACGTATATGATATGCATCGTGCCATTGTGTCACAAATCATCCGTACACACTGACTGCTTAAAATAATCATGTCTAGCATTAAGTTAAGAACGGATTAACTATTTATTTATTTATTTATTTATTTATTTATTTTTTTGATCATTGAGGATTTAAATTCAATATACATGTCATAAATATGACATCTAACAGTTATCATTTTTTTTGTCTGGATTTGTTGCTAAGTGATGACGACAATTAACGTTTAATGAGCCTATAATTGGATAAGTAAATGATGTTTCGATCGGCAGTCAATCTCCGGTTCAGTTGGGAAAAGTTTAATTCTAAATTTTTTTTCGTATAAGTGTACTAGTTCAGATAGAATTCTAACTACGATATCGCAAAAGTCTTACGACTCAAGTCCTGAAAGTAATAAAACAGAATTTGTGTTCGCTAAATATACATATTTCGCGAGTTGTCGGTTTTCGACTTATCGGGGTTCGAGTTTTGGAAATATTAAAAGTACTCCTATAGTCTATACTCCTATACTGAAGTATAAATTGTAATATTTAAGTACAATGAAATGTATATAACATTGAGAGACGATTATTTTTTTCATTTTATAGATTGATTGAATTGATCGATTGAACGATTCGCTAATTCGCTTTGCTTATGTTCTACAGTTGTGGTTTACATTTTCCCCGTCTAACATTTCTCAAGCAGTAGAATTCTTCCGGTCTAAAAAATACTCCATAAAAAAAAAAAGCACCAACATATTTTTTGTTGCGGAGTTTTTATTTAAATCACTTACAAACGACATATTATACCCAAAGATGATGCTATTATACAAGTACATGGATGATCTACTGTTAGTTCTATAGTGATTGGTGAAGTTTCTAAACTGATCGGGAAACGGGACAACACTTTATATATTACATTATAGGCGGTCCTCTCTACTCATCCCACCCATGTGCGTGGCCCTTGCGATGTCTATCCAGCAACTTTTGTTGATCTGTTCGCATTGTGCGCAGGTAGCAGGGATTCTTGGAAAAAGCTATCGATCCCTTCGTCGTATCATATCCGTTATTCGCTTTACAAAGTTCGTATATGTGTAGCGGTAGGTTATCCGATTGATATGGAATTTCCTTTAAAAATATCCCTTTGGCATTATGAATACATAATAAACCGCCAAAACCCACTGCTAGAATGGAAAGTTCTCGTCCCAAGTGTTTTTATTTGTTATTTAGCTATCGTTTACTTCAACGTAGCTGTTCGTATATCCGGATCGCTTACTTTTGTCTTTTAGCAGCTTTGTTCCCACACACCCACGTGCGCACGTGCTTGAATAAAATCTATTGCGCAGTTAGAGACTTTTTGATTTTTCAAATACAATACATAAACTACGGCTGCCACACGTGCCAGCTGATTATATTTCATTTTATTCGACATCTGCAGTGACGTTCGATTAAATTATTAATGAAACAAATTCTTTGCAATTGCAATATCCTTGTACTGAAAACGTTATAAAGTGCCGTTTTTTCCTTTATTTTTTTTTTTTTTTCATCCACATCTGCTCACGATTTGACATTCAAGTCAAACATCCAGTTTTAATAATTTAATGTCGACAAATCAATGCCTCGACGTAACTTATTATTTATCGATACCATACACATATATGGAAATATAACACGAATAATACAACATTAATTTACTATACCACGTAAAACGACGAGAATATTGCGGTAGTCGAGATCGTATGTAGTCAGCTAATCGACGCGCATACGACTGCATGCGTATGGTCTTGAAACCTATCTCGGTTCGATTGTAATAATTATTGTGTAAGTGCAATTGAGATAGTCGTCTACGAGTACCAAAAACCTACCGAACTATGTAAAACTTGTAGAAGGTCAGGAACAATTATCTGAGTAATTATAAATTAACAATATTATAAGATTTATATAACGTTTTGAAGTATTAAAGGTGAAGTATACTATTAACCTAACCTGCTGCAACTATATAAAACGACCGTGAAGATGACTATGAGATAGTATTGTATACATACAAATATTGTATCGTATACTTTTCGTAATCCGACGGACTCGGATGTACATTATATTTACATTTATACTGGGTATAATAGAATTTAAAGTAGGATCGAGCAATACATTTGAACGCGGCGAGTTGCTACGGGAAATGTGATCTTTTACAGCTAAAACGTTTTA